AGCATTAATTAAGTATTGCTTCAGTTGGTTAAATGCATCATCCTGGTCCTTCTTCCATTCATACTTGATGTTCTTGCACAACAAGAAGTGAAGAGGGTGAGCAATTGCGGCGAACTTAGGTATGAATTTCCGATAGTACGACGCCAATCCTAGGAAACCTCGCAACTCACGAAGGGACTGTGGTACAGGGAAATTCCGGACTTTTTCAACTTTATCTTCATCAGGGCGAATGCCCTCTCGACCGACGATGTGACCCAAAAATTGCAAATGGGGCCTAAAAAAGAAGCACTTATTCGGATTTAATTTTAAACCTACATTTTGTAGCTTATTGAAAACAGTATTAAGGTGGTTAGTATGCTCCTCGAACGATGTTGAATAAATGATGATGTCATCAAGATATATGACAACGAATTGGTCCAAAAACTCTGCCAGCACTTGGTTCATCATTCGCTGAAATGTGGCAGGGGCGTTCGTAAGCCCAAACGGCATTACCACAAACTCAAAGGTACCAAAATTTGTCACGAACGCGGTTTTTTCTCTATCTTCTTCACTTACGGGAACCTGCCAATAGCCGGACATTAGGTCTAGTGTTGAAAACCAAATTGCAGACCCAAAAACTTCCAATAGGTCGTCAACACGGGGCAGGGAGAACGCATCCTTTTTCGTAACCGCATTGAGCTTCCGATAGTCAATGCATAAGCGCAATTTTCCTCCCTTTTTCAGTACAACGACCACAGGGGACGCCCACGGGCTTGTGCTTTCTTTTACTAATCCCTTTTCTTTAAGTTTTTCTATCTCCTCCTTTATAAAACTGCGTACACTGGGGGCAGCATGATAGGGGTGTTGTTTAATTGGCGTTGTGCTCCCGGTATCAATTTCGTGTACTGTCAGGGTTGTCTGACCCAGATCGTTCGTATCGTGGGCAAACACATTTTTTTTATCATTTAAGAAGGTTTGAGCCTTTTGGACTTGTTCCGGGGTTAGGTGGGTTGTACATACGCTTTTTTTCAACCTCACTTCTAAGGACTCATCATTAAGGTCAGGTTCGTTGGTTGGTATTTCTTCCATGTGTGACAAGTATACTGCAGGACTATGGTGATCCTTCCACGGGTTATCAAAAAGTTCATTATCCGATACTTCACTGGTGAAATATCCTTCAGCTTCATTCAACATTTCGTCTTCATACTCGAATTCGTCGAACGTCCCATTTTCCTCATTTTCGGTGGCTTCCACAGGAGGGCACTCACCATCGTATGACATTGGTACCTCAGCAACTTGATCCTGGTAGTGTACATATAGCTTACTTTCATCAACGTGCAAACGGGCACGTGTTCGCTTAAACCAGTCCATTCCTAGTAAAAGGATTTCATCCTTTGATTCAATTATCTGGAAGGTGGTGGGAACCATAATTCCTCCTAAGACCAACTTCACATCCATAATTTTCCCTAAAGCCCTAACACGGGCACCATTCGCGGTTACTACAGTGGTGGTGGATGGTTCTGTAATTTTTAACTGCAATTTTCCCATCATTTTATTGGACATAATGCTCACGGCAGCACCAGAATCTAGTACAGCAATTACTAGGTTGTTTTTTATTTTCACATAACAGCGAGCAGCTGTAGTTCTCCCATTCCATTGGTCTTGTACGGCATTCATAGGCTCAAGGGGGGGTGATGGTGGCTCTAGAGGGAGCAACGGTCTTCGTAGGGCTTTTGTGAGCTTCTGTCTTTGATCAGGGTATTGTAACATTTGTCCCAACGTTACACTGGCCCTTGCATTCATAATATCCACTGCCACATCGTACGGGGCTAATTGATCGATTACAGATGGGCCTCTTTTTCTTCAAGGTCTTGTAGGGGGAGCTACTTGGGCTTCTGGTACTGGTGGTGGTGGGTTCACAATTGCGGGTTGTGCTACTAATGGGTCCACGTTTACAGGTGGTTCAACTGGGGCTTCTGGCCTGGGCAGGATAGACCTGTATTGCTCTTCTATTTTATCCTTCAACCTTTTGAAGCGGCGACCTACTGGTCTTCTAGTGGGGTATGGTTCGTGGTGGGCCACGGGTGTTACAAAAGCTTCCTCTTCCTCAACTTCAGGTTCATAACCTTCATCCAATTCAATCCCACAAAAATTAACATTGCCGGGTCTAGGTAAGATACGGGTGGGTTGGTTGTTTCGGTTGTTTGGGCTAGGTTGGTTGGTTTGGGCTCGCCTATTCTGGCCGTTTTGGGTTGGATTCGGGGTCCTTTCGGATATGCAATAACGAGAGATGTGACCAGGCTCACCACATTTATAGCAAATTAACCTGGTTGGATCGTAACCATTGCGGTTATTATTATTATAATTATTATTATTGTTTGGGGGACGGGATCTAGGAGGTGCAATTTCAGTATGCAGGGTGAGGGCAGCTGTCAACTTCTCAGACATGGCTTGCATTTGGCGAGTTAGACTATTCAGATCAGTTTCCAGTTTCTTATTATCTTGAGCACTTTCTCCATTTTTTCTACTGTAGTACTCTCCAGCTTCAATTTTATGAGCACCGATTATAGCGTCTTCCAACGTTGGGGGTTCTGCGACACTAAGCCAGGAGGCTATCTTGGACCTTAAACCTCCTAAAAACATTCATACTATGTACGTTTGGGGTAACCGATATTCAGGATCCACTCGTCTTAAAAGTTTTTTGAACTTGCAGGCGTAGGAGTCGATTCTTTCATTCTCTTGTTGGGTGAGGGCATTAAGATCAACTTGCCACTTATGTCGTCGTTCTGGGGTGGTGAAATACTGGGTGAAGTGGGGCACGAAGCTTGCTTCTGGATCGTTGTCATTATCCCAAAATTCCAGGGTGGCTCTTATTCCATCATACCAGTTTGCAGCGACACTTCGCAAATACCCAGAGGCTATTTTAATTTTTTTTCCAGGGGTTCAGTTATTTGCATCAGTGGCACGATCAAACATTTCAACCCACTCCAGAGGGTCCTCTTCCTCAGTTCCATAGAACGGTTCAACCCGTACTAAGTTAGTTTCTCTTTCAGGGGTTCTTGCAGCGAGGGCAACTCCAGCGGTAGCATCTTTGAAGGCTTTTGCTATTTCTCTTAAAACCGTATGGAGGGGGTCTTGATTAGGCTGTTGGGTAGGGTTTTCATTGTTATGGCCATTGTTTCTTTCTATATACAATGGGTACTGATCGACGGGAGTCCTGCTACTATCGCTGTAGATTGACCGTCTATCATCATCTTGGTTGAGGCAAAGATCGTTTTCAACGTTTTGCTAGTCCATGTTATGGTTTTTTTTTTTTATACTTGCTTTAGGGTGAAGGTTACGCAAATGCGGCGTTGTGGTCTCCTATTATTTGTTTTCGGCTTGCTTGGGGTTATTTTATGGTTCAATTGTTTGCTGATTAGAAAAGGTTAAATCGAATCTATTCCAAGATCTATTTATGCTAATTTTCAGAATTAATTTGTAGATCGGGTTTAAGCTTTTTCTAAAATGTCGTAATAATTACACACATGAACCTTATTTGTAGTTAATAAAAGTTTTTTTTTTATATATATTTATACTATTATATACTTCCGATTACTATATTATACTATATTTTTTTTTTTTATAGTATATTGATAATAAAAAGTTTTTTTTTTTTTTTTTTTTTTTTAACTTTTTTTTTTTTTTTTATTTATATATTCTTTTCTCTTGAACAGTATTATTTAATTTTTTTTTATTCAAAAAAAAAAAATAATAAGGTCTTGCCGTTTATAAATTCCCACTTCAAGCTTGATTGGATACGTATCAATTCTTTTTCCTTTTTGGGTTATGATCCTGTCTTGACGTTATACTAATTACTTTCCTTTTTCTATCAGTTTCTTAGTAAATCGATCCGGTATGGAACAGCACAAAGTCGGGGTAGTACGATCATACGTTCTTTAGCAAAACTAAGTGGACTCAGTACGTCGGTCCTAGATTTCCAAAAAAAACTTGGTTTACGTCTAGTACACAACTCTAGAGGTGAACACAGTCCGTTGGTTCAATACAACAAAAAAAAAAAATTAAAATTAAATGACACAATGCACACAATAAATGTAGTCAAATTTTTCATATTGGGGGGGGGGGGGGTAGTTAACGCTTTCACGGTTTCGTTTCTACTTTAGTAATTAGGAACATCCAGGGTCGTCGATCTCACAGTCACCACCAAATTGATATGGGGTACAAGGTCGGGAACGGCACTACAGGACAAGAAGAAATGCGACGAATTGTCGCTTCGAATTCGTCGACATTGCGTAACGTTGCTCAAGGCAGGTGAGGTGGATTCGATTTGGCACTGGTCTATGGCGGCCTTGAGAACGTTACCAGAGGAGTTAAAGGAGCGTAATAGTATTTTTTTATTTAATTACTTTTATTTTATTTTGACAGTTAGCAGTTTATTAATTAGAACTTTATTTATTTTATAGGGTGGGTTACAAGTTAAAGGTGATTCGGGTTACAAGAGGGCGGGACTCCCTTTTACTATAGGGCGGAAAAGCACTTTTTTATAGAACATTTTTGAAAGAAAAAGAGAGAACTTAGGACACGGCTTTGACACCCTTTTTTTTCATAGTCATAGACTGTTTTTCCCTTTTTTACTAACACTTTTTTCTTTTTCTTGAATTCATCCGTCATTACTTAGCATCATCCCACAACAGCATACAATCCAACATATGACGACGCATTTAACACGGCCACAGACTTTTCCTGTCAAGGTAATATTACCTTGACAGTTGGATTCCAAATCGGGCAGATGGCTTTTTCTTCAATGGATCGGCACCGTCACTTAATGAGGAGCTTGATTTGTCTTGGGTCGCAGGTATCGTAGTACGACGGTTTTTCGTGGTGCAGATCGTGGTCGTTATGCAACGTTTCCTCTAGGTCCTAGGGTCGAATCTACCCATAACAATGTATAAGAACTTGTGTACTATCTGCTAGTATAGTATAAGGATTATCTTATACAAGTTATTTAACTATAATTGAATTCATAATAAAGACAATAGTTGCCAATAACTAACAGCCTTAGTAAAAGCAAAAAAAAAATAAGTGTCTCAAAAAATATATATTAGAGATTTTTCTCTATCTTAGTGTTGAAAGACAACTTTGTTACTCTTATTACTATAATATTGTAAAGTAAAATAGAAAAGGCAAAATTATAATCAGAAAAAAATAAAACTTCAAAAAAAAACTTTACAATATAAAGAATTTCAATCAAATACAAATACAAATATGTGTCTTATTCTTTAATATTTTATAATTAATATACATCTATATTTTTTTTAATTAATTTGATCTTATTTAGATTCTATATTAACTTTAAATATAAAAGCACTAATTAAAGTATTATACTATTAACAACATCAAAAACATGCTAATATAAAACTCAATTCAGAAAAATTCAAGTCTATATTAAAGAATACTAATTCTCAACTTAAAGGTTTTTTAGCAATATAATGAATGCAATTATCTCTAAAGAACATTTAACTTATAGTGTAAATAAAGCCAGAAAGTTAATTATTAGTTTATATTATATGATCACAAAGTTGTATAATAAGTTTGTTAATAAATATAAATTAGAGGTAGGATTGAACTTAATGGCATTAGGTGCCACTTTAAAAGCTATTAATACAATTGCAGTTTTTAGGTATTCTGCATATATTAAATTGATAGAAGAATTTTACAAAAATATTTAAAAAAAGCATATAAAAAAAATTGAACACTTTTTTATCAAAATGTATATTAAATTAATTAGATAATAAAATAATGTGTTGATTATTAAACAATTAATTTTTTTTTATAGAAAAATTTGCTTTATTTCTATAACATTGATGATTATTATTCAATTCATAAAAACCAGAGACCTGATACTGTGTTAACTTTAAGTACAAGCCATTTTGCAACTTTTTTGCAAAACTGATTATAAAATATTTATTTGTGCTACTCAATTTTAATAATATTTTAGTTTGTAATTTAGCAAATATTAAATCATATAGAGTTTGCTAGTATTTACTTAATAAATACAAGAGAATGTTTGATATATTATATTTTAACTATTAAAATTTACAAGATTATTTAATTCTTAAAAAATTGAAGCTTTAATGGTATATTATTACACTAAAATTTAATTAAATAAAAAGAAAAAAGATTAATAAAAGAGCTTAAATTAGTCAGAATTAAGAAACAAAATTTGCACTCAGTGCATAATTATGTTAATGCTTTAAAAGTTCTTATATTATTAAATAATAAAACATTTGAATAAAAAAGTTGTACCAGTTATTATTAACTGGCCTGGCCAAATATTTATCTAAAAAGCATTGTATATATAAACAATTTTAGGTTTACAATATAAATTTTTATCAAAGCTTGTATTATTTCTAGCAATATTAGATCACCTTTACCTATTATTAAACAGTAAAATGCAGATTGTATTAGTTTATTATTCCTTTTTTAAGAAGCTGTTTTATTTTGTATTTGATGAAAACAAAAAATTTGCAAAAAAATCCTAGTTATGAAGAATTAATCTTGTATTAGAACTTTCAAGAAATGGCTTACTTAAAATTAGAAATGATGTTATAAAAAAATTTAATAAAACATGTAAAAATATTGAATATTGTAAAGCTATTAATTTACTTAATAATTTGATTTCTGTTACCTTTGATGTATATGCAACTTTGTTTTGATCTGGCAAGTTTGAAGAATATATAAAGTTCATTTTTTGTATTTAAATATTCTTTTTAAATTGAAAGAGAAAAAATTACAATAATGCATCCCTGGTTTTTTTATTTGATTTATTTTACTGAATAGATACAGGTCATCATTTTTTAAAAGAATTACAAAAACATCTACCAAGTTTTAATAATTATTAAGTAAAAAATACATATAGCTGAATTAAAGTGAATACATCTCTGAATGCAACAGCAGATAATATTATAAAGCAAACCTATATTATAATAAATTACAAACTTACTTTTAAAAATACATACTGTAAAGCTCAATACTATCCATATAATATTAAAACACTAGATTTTTTATTTAATAAAATTTGTCTTTTTCTATTACAATATTTTCAAAATATTTTTTACTATTATAAAAAAAGTAGTTTAAAACTTAATGCCAACAAGAATACTATTACTAAAGACACCACAATTCAAAACATTACTACTGAAGATATCACTAGCAGGTGCACTACCAAGAGCACTATTACTAAAGACATTATTACAGAAGACATTATTACTAAAAACATTACTACTAAAGACATCATTACTAAAAACACTTCTAGCAAAAGCACTAGCAAGCATACTATCAGCAAATGCATTATTAGCAAGTGCATTACTAAGAACACTACTATTAGAGGCACCAAACTCTCTATTACTAAAAGCACTAAGCTTACTACTACCAAACATACTGCTACTACTACCAAACACACTGCTACTAAGAACAATACTACCAAATGTATTATCACTAAGAACAACATTACCAAACACACTGTTACTAAAAACAATATTACTAAATACACTGCTATCAAGAACAATACTACTAAAAAAACTACTACTAAGAAAAAAAGCTATTTCAAATATATTGTTAAAGGCAAAACTGGTACCAGAGTTGCTCTAACCTAGTGCCATTCTGACCTATATCTTTTTACAGTAAGAATGCCTCTGAAACAAGAAAACAATTATGCATTAATTGTATCTTGAGAAACTTGAAAGCCAAGCTGCCTATCTGAAACAATGCTATAATGATGTAGAATCAGGAACTATAGCCATTTGTTGAGATAGATCTGCCAGATTGGGCTAGTTGTTTATGCTGCATAAGGTTATTCAAAGTTCTGATCATAATAATGGATCTGAAACCATTGAGTTTAGTGAGAAAATGTTTGATCTTGGGCCCCAGTACTGTCTCTTTTTGTGAAGTGCCATTCTTGTATATAAGTGCCTTTTTTTCTTAGAGTTAGAAAGGAGGAAGCATTTAGAATAAACATTGTTAGTAATGGCTATATTAGTAATAAAACTGTCTTATTAATAAACTGAGACCTTGCACTCATGCCTTAGCCTTGCCAAATCATTTCACCTCTTCTGTAGTGCAATGTTTTATGATATTTGGTATTTTCAAGTAACAATCTGTCACATTTTTCTTGACCCTGTATTTCATGAACCCAAAAACGTCTACTAACAATATAAACTAGCTACTCTAAATAAAGAAGTAGATCTGCAACATTTACCAAAGGCATACAATACATTATATTCTTCATATCTGAAATTATGCGATTATTATAAATTTCTATTTGTTAATAATAATGATATAGTATTTATTTGTATTCACAGTTATCATAAGGTTTGTTATAATAAAAAGTGCAGTTATTGCAAAGAATTTTATAAAAAGGAATTAACAAAAATATTAATGCATTTTTAAAATAAATTAAAAAAAAAGCAAATTTACTTATAAAAAAGGATATTGAGGGGGATGGGGTCCCGTAGCCTAGTGGTCTAGGCACCCCTCCCTCCACAGACAAGGTCGACGGTTCAATTCCAGCTGGA